GGGAAGTCAGATTGACCTCACGTGCTATGTTTGGTTTATTTTTCGTATAAAAGGGGTAGATTATAACGTGAAATAATCAACTCCTTTAAGGCTCGGTGTATGTAATAATGTGCGTTAATTTTGGATCCTCTCGTTCGTTAGTAATGGTTCCGTTAATATTATCAATCTATTCTGAATGAAGCTGTATTCTCCGTCGTAACTCGTGAAATTAGTGTTTTCCCGATTGAAAACAAACATGTGCAATCTCATGAAAAATCAAGTCGCCGACGCTCGGATTTATTCCTTTTTTTACTTATATTTACTTAATCCAGATAAAATAAACTATCTTGATACTCCGTAGCAAATATTTACTTGAACGCAGCAAGTTTTTTTTTTCTCAATGTATGTGCATTCAGCAAATCGTACTTTTTGACGGCCAATCTTACTCGGACAAAAAAGTTTCATCAGGAACGTCCTTGAAGACAATCTTATAAATTACAACATTTAACTCAATTTTATTTCAATGAGATCGATGTGTGGGCCCTAAAGGGTTAAGGAGAGAAGCAACGCGTGCGCGTTGTAAAATAAACAAAACCGTGGAGTCAATCTGGAGACCCCGCTTTTTCATTCTCTCAATCACCGTATGAAGGACCTCGACAGGATCGCGAGAGCTTTTTGCGTGACTAGTAAGTTCTCCAAAATAACGATAATGAGATCAAGATAAAATATCCCTCGCGGGAATTAAGATCAAGCTTTCGGTTAAATTATCCGAGACGGTGTTCCGCGAAGATGTACGCTTATGGACGGCGCGATATCTCCCGAGAGCGTTCAACGTTACGCACGTGCAAAAACTCGCCACGTGGTTGAGCCTCGCCTCCCCTCGAGCCGCGTCGTTCCGCGAGTGATATTCGCCGTTGTCGTCGTCGTGGAAAAAGTCTCATCGTTCCCGTGCGATGAGAGAAAAGAGAAAACGGGGTGCAGATCCGGTGGTGTCGCATTGCGGCGCAGGGGGCAAAAGTACCACCCGATGTACCGACCTCGAAAAGTACGACAGACGACGCACTCGAAACTCGAGCGAGGCCGTTAGAAAATCGAACGACGCCCCTGTAGAACATCGCGACCCGGACGGAGAGAGAGAGAGAGAGAAAGAAAGAGTAGAGCGAGGGGCTGCGGAAGATTGTACATACGAAACTGTTCATGCAGAGAGAGCGGCCGGAATGAATTATATCGGTGTCAAGTCCCGAAGATAAGTGGCCGGGCGCCATAAGTGTCCTGTCCGGCCGAAAATTTCTAACGTTTCACTTTAAAGCCGGACAAATGTAGCGGTCGGCAAAACTACCCTTCCGCCGAGAAAAGTCACTCGTTAACATCGCGGATCAAGCGCGTGTGACGTGCTCTCGTTCGTCGAAGAGCGAAAAACGAACGAGGGGCCGGGGGGGGGGGGAATATACGGAATTAGGATTATGCGTAATTTCAGCGATTACGTGATAAAGGAAGTAACGGAGTCATTTGGCTGCTTCGGAAAGTAGTGGCAATTTTTTTTCCTTAATTTTAACGCGTTCTGTTAAATCGTTGTTTCTTTTTATCTATCTATCTATGTCGTTCTTTCTCTTTCCCGATATCCGGATATCTGAACAATCGGGGAGAGAAACGATCGGACGTCTGGGACACCCTGTGTGCAAAGGAGAGATGCCAGTATGGAAAGCCAAGGCGTAATTTCGGCGTCTTGTGAGCCGCGATTGTGCCACAAGTATTCCGCCACTAAAAATCCGTATTACTCTTGTTGTCGATCACGTGCCAAGGACGTGGAGCGTTCTGGAGCCGCGTTTTATATCGCGCTTTTTCCGCCGTATCCGCATATCCGCCTCGGTCCTCTCGTGTTAAATCACGAGGAGAAGACGTTGCATTGTACCGCCGGTTAAGCATTCCACGGCATCCGAACAAAACCTGATTAGTTAGCGACGCTGACGCACATCAAGTCGCTTATTAATTCGAAGAAATTAATTCTCAGAATTAAATGTGATTTTCAAATTTGCGAAAATACCGCATAAACGATCGCGTCTCGTGTCCATACTCGCTTTTACGATAATGATTAGTATTTGAGAATTTGGCAATAAATTGAACTGGATTGAATTTTATTTTATTTCCTATAACTTTATTCTTTTAATTTTATTGGATTAATTTATTCGATTAAATTAAATTTAATTGAATATAACTTAGCAGATTAATAGATTAGTTGAATTCAACAGAGATAAATGAAGAAAATAAAGAAATATAGTTAGTGAAGTGATATAAAATCAAATTAAATTTAATTTATTGCCACGTTCTTAAATATTAATCATTATCGCGAACGCAAGTACGGACACAAGGCGCGGTATCTCCGTAAATTTGACAGAAATTTCGCTGAAATTCAACTCAATTTCATTTAATTCAGGTAATTTAAATGAAAAATAAACGATTCACGCCAAGTGAACTGGCCGAAATCCCCCCGTCCTCAAAATTGGTCATCAATTCAATTCTACAATCAATCTCCGGGCCGATGGAATATCGTTGAATGTCAATCGTTATTGTGTCACGCACGTCGAGCGGTGTGACGGGCGTTTGTTCGCGGCGATGCCCGATCATCAAGAATTTACAGCGCGTATGCACCCGTGCGGCATCCGTTTCTCGGTTCTTTATATCGCCGCCGGCTGGGGGGAGAAATCGAGCCGCGTACGGCGTCGGGCGTGGTGCCCTCGCGAAAGACGGAAGCGCGTTACGATCATTGACATTGTTCCACACTGTTCTCCCTCTGACTTCCTCGCGTTATGCTTCCCTGCCCCCTCCCTTAGAATCGATCGAAATCACCCCCATCGTGCCCCTCCTCCTCTCGGACAGCGCGCTGTTCGCGACTTTTTCTCGCGTCTCGCACTTTATCGCGCGTACCCCTTATCGCGCTCCTCAAACGGCCGGATCGGCCAAATTAGATTCTTCGTAATCTCGCGCTCGCCCTTTTTATCTCCGGCCGCTTTTTCCTTTTTCGCCTCGCCTTTATTTCGGGATCGATTTCCGCGAGATTGTACACGCTTCCACCGGCGCTCCGCCGCAGAAATCAAGTTCCACGCTATTCCGCGCGCTGCTACATGTGCGCACACACACACAGATCGCATGTGTATATCGCACACACGTATCCGATTAACCCCCCCCCCCTCCCCCGGAATTAGAGAGAACCACCCGCCCAAGAGCACGATCATCGGGATGTGCAT